GTGCTGGATTCCCACATGGTAGATCGCAGTTTGCGTCCTGGACCTGGCATCTTTCTTTCACACTCTCCCTTCTCTCTCTCTCTGCTCAAATTGAAGAAGAAAAATAATAAATAAAATTAAATAAGCAATTCTAACAAAACAACAACAAAGTAACAAGTTCTATTCCTGGATCAGCTGGATCTTTGGAAATTGTTAAACTACATTGCTTTAGCATCTAGTATTTTCCAAGTGAATGTTCATTGGTAATGTTCACAGAGATGTTTCCATGGTCAAAATACTTAGGAAACACACTAGACACTGGATTTCTCATTTGGGAATCCCCAGTGTAAATTAAGGCCTCCAAAGAATCCTTCAGTAAAAACATACATATAAAACACCATTAAATGTAGTGTTAAATTGGGCACAGGGTTCTTCCCTTCTTTGCCAGCTGTGAGACATGTCAATGTGGGAAACATGAATGATTTTGCCAGTTAAGACCTGTTCAGCTCCTCATAACAGAAACCCTCACCTCCAAATGGCTTAACCAAATGGGGTTTTATTTTATTTATTTTTTTAGAGAGAGATTATTGCTATAGGGCACATGCACTCACCAGAGAGATAGAGAAACAGAAAGCAAGAAATCACCCCACAGTGCGAGATGGCCACACCACAACCCTTTCTTCTCTAGCCTCCTCTCGGGATTTTGGGCACATATGCACATGCACCTGGCGTGAGTTTTAAGACACCAGGTCTGGAACTTGAACCACGGTCCACGACATGCGAGTTCAGCGATGTAACCATTACACTACATGCTGGTCCCACGGGATTTTATTTTTATTGCATATTGAAAAGGTGAGAAAGAGGTAACTTCTGCCATTGTTTCAGTAACTTCGGTTGGTCGATAATGTCAAGATCAGACTCTCCAGGATTCCTCTGTCCCTTCCTTTATAGTCACAAGGTAGTAAGAACAGCTCCCATTCTACATGGTAAGTGATGTGGGGCTTCCGGCAGCACTTTTGGTTTCCACCAAGAAATTCAAAGCTTTTCAGCAGCCACTCAGAAGATTTTTGGTTCACCCTTAACTCCAAGTGAGTTGGATAGTCTCTGTAGTGGAGGCAGGCAAGGGAGAAGGCTGCTGGGTTAGCCAACCCACAATGCCTTCAACAATTGGTAGAATTACCTTTTGGGACTTACTTTGTAATGTTAAGCTTTCAGTATCTATTAAAATACCATTAGAACCAGTTATATGAACTCTACTGTTGTTTTTATAGTCTATTGTATATACTATACAATATACATTCTATTCATGAAGATGTTGTTCAAAGTAAAAGAGTATGCTGTAAAAGACCCATTTGAGACATTCTGCTAAGACTTAATACTGTCTTTCCCTCCCTGCCATACTCATTCCAGAGACAGTGTTTATCATCCCCCATACACAACTCTTTGGGTTCTAACTTAGCCTTAAAAGCCAGATTCCTGGTGTTAGACCATTCTCTACAAGGTCTTACAGTATTTTTGCAAGGCCCCTAGATTTTCTAGGCAACTGTGCAAGGTTCTTGCTGCTGAGACCCAGAGATCTCTCTCTCTCCTTGTTTGCTTATGAGCCTTTTCCACTCTTCTCAAAATCTGTCTTACCCAATAGATGTATTTGTCAATAAAGGCCCCATTGGAAAGTTCAGAAAATTCTCCTTCCCCCATTTTGATTCAAAGAAGCACAGTCTTTTTATATTAAAGAGAAATAAGGACCAACAGATGGTGTAATGATTATGTTGCTAAATTCTCATGTAGTCGACTGCAGTTTGAGTCCCAGATCTGGCAGCTTAAACCTCACATAAGGCGTGTATGCGTGCGTGCCCAAGATCCTGAGAGGAGAATGGAGGAGAAGGTATTGCAACATGGCCATCCTCCCTGCTGGGGGGGTGGGGGTAGGGGTGATTTCTTACTTTCTGTCTCTTTGTCTCCAGTGAGTGCACACGCTCTATAGCAATAATCTCTAAAAAAGAAAAAAATAGTAAAAAATTATAAATTAGTATTTATGTGTGGTATTTTTGTTTGTTTTTAAGACAAGGCCTCATTTTGTCATAATCTTTACCTTTGGCTCAGCTTCCTGAGTAGTTGGGACGACAGGTACACACCACTATGTCTGGCTTATTTTCTTAAAGGCAGGCCAGAAATCAAACCCGGGCCTCCCATGTGGCCTCAACCTGACAAGCAGTAGTATTCCATGAGCAGTACCACAGTTGGGCCAGAAATTATAATGAGTATCACCAAAACTGCATGGTCATACTCTATATAAAAAAACTTATCACAAGGTAGGATGTTCAGTATTTAAGTTTTTCTCTCCTGATGAACAATAAGCTCTATTCATTTGACAAATACTGTTTAAAGATTCTTCGGTTTTTCATCTATTGCCAAATTTTCACTTTTCATGCTACATCCACTCTACCTCCTTTCACTCACAGCAACAGACTAGTCACCATCATCTTATACAGGAGAAACTGACCAGCTCCTCTCAGTTCATCTCTCTGTTGTTGTCTACCTTCCCTTTCTTTACTTCCATGAGATGAAAATGTTCTTCCCTCTTCTAGCTAAAGCTGACCCTCCATGTTCTTGTGATTACATCATTTCTCTGGCATTTTCTACACTCACACACGCTCATGCACTTATTTTGCTGCTGTCTTGTGGACTCCTCCCTCTACCTACAGTTTCAAGTCCTCCCATCTTAAAATCCTAAATGCTTTTCAAACTATTGTTTTTCTCCTCTTTCCCAAGACTTGGAAGAATGAGCTTCTGCTTTCTGTTTTCTTTACCACTTGCAAATGTACTGCTCTAGTGAAATTGTTACACTCAATGACCATTTCTTAGTCCTCCTTCTCTTGGAGGTCTGCTTGTAAGTCAATTTAGAAGAAACTCCTTTCTTGCTTAGCTATGGCATTGTACTGTGCTGTCTCTTTCTGGCCTCTCCACCCACCTCAATTATGCTAAAGCAACGAGAAGCAATTAAAACACCACTACAATAATATAGGGTTAATAAACTAAATGCCCCACTGTGATTATAAATCAAATTTTACTGAAACACCCATTTGTTTCCATATGGTTGCTTTTGCGCTCCAACAGTAGAATTGACTAGTTGTGACAGAAATTGTCTAGCTCAGCAAGCTCAAAAGTTTTATTAACTGTCCCTTTATGGAGAACATATGCTGACCTCTTTCTAGATGATCTAAACAATCCAGATCTCAATGAAAGACTATACTAATAGGAATCAAGAGGCAACAGCTCTAAGATATATTAAGGAGATGTGATAGAAGTTAATGACTAATTGAAACAAGTTCAGTGTAGTAAAGAAACAAAAATTTTAGGATGGCACTTAAGGGATTTCCAGGTGTGATGTGTGGTTGAGCAGTCTGTGTTAATTAAAGGTCACATGATGTCGGAGTTTGGATGAGGAGGTAATACTGAAAGGAAGAGTATGATCATGGTTTTATTTAGAGCTATTTTACATGAGTATCTTATATTGTATCCAAATGAAGGTAGTAATACATATAACTTCAATGCCCAAGAGTAAAATTTGGGAATATGTATGTGTCAGCATAAGAAAATAAAATGTGGACCCCGAGAGGGAAATGCTTATAATTTAAAAGTTCGAACATAAACCAGTGTCTTCTTCCTACAGGTTCAATGAATTATCAAGTCTTCGTAAGATTTCTCTCTCACTTTGTACTCCTTACATGCTGATTTTATCATGTACAGTTCACCCTTGTTATTTAAATTCTTTACTATAAATTTGTAATTTCAAAATCACATGTGTCATTTGCAGACAGTCACAGCAGTAAAAATTTTGAGTCCCCTGACATAACTTCTCAGCTGAGGTTGAGCAAAGCAATACTTTGCCGTTTCAGCTCTCATACAAACAAATGTCCATTTGCACTTGTAGTGTTTTATTTATTTTATTTACTTATATATTTTGAGAGGTTTTTGCTCTAGGGTGAGTGTGCTCACCAGAAAGAGAGACAGAAGCAAGAAATACCCCCCCCGAGGAATGGCCACGCCGTAATCCCTTCATTCTCTTTTGATCTTGGGCATGGATGCACACACGCCTGGCGTTAGTTTAAGTCACCAGGTCCGGGACTCGAACCACAGTCAACTACATGGGAGTCCTGTGACATAACGATTATGCCAACTGCTGTTTCCAAGTATTCACTAATTAAGCATGGGAACTTTACAGATCATAACTATGATGAATAATGGAAGACAACTGTACCTTAGTCCATAATCAGATAATAAATTTCTTGAAGAACTCATTATATCTTGTATGTAACATGTACAATGTCATTCACTGGCATTTTCTAAAAGTATCTATTACCAGAGAATAGATCTGCTTCCATTCAAATTAATATGACCTTTCCAACAAACAAGATCTAATAAATATCCTTATATTGGAAAACGAGTTCAAAGATGACTGAGGTCAAAAGCAAGAACATCTAGATTTTTGTTTTTGCATGATAGTGCACACCAGGGAGAGAGAGAGAGAGAGAGAGAGAAAGAGAAAGTATCCTCAACAGGTTCTCCTTATGCCGTGACCCTCTTGTTCCTCAGGATCCTGGGCACTTGCATGCATGTCCCTGGTATGCTTTCAGGCTGGCCTGGAGATTGAACCTGTGGTTGACAACATACCTCCAGCCTTGCAGTGCCCTTGTGTTTACATTGTACCACAGTGGATTGGCCTTAAGCAAGTTTTTGTTTGTTTGTTTTTTGTCTTTTTGCTTCAGGGAACATGAACTTGCTGAAAAAAGACAAAGACAAAATGAGAAATCCCTCCATATGGGTAACGGCCATGCTGCAATCTCTTTTCCTCCTGGGACTTTGGGCACACATGCACACACACCCAGCATGTCTGGAATCTGAACTGCAGTGAGCCATGTAGGATCCATCACCTTAACCACCATGCCACCTGCTGGCTCTAGGCAAACTGTTAAAAACAACAAATTTAGAAATTCCTTAAAACAAATGACAACCACAAATGTAAAAAAGTGCTTTTTAATATTTAGCCAGTCAAGGATTATTAGGTGGATGTAATAAACAATTTTCCTTTTTTTACGGAGTAGTCTAATAATGTCATCTATGTGACTTAAGCAACATGATCATTTAATTAAAGTTAAGACAGTAGGGCAGTTGTAATTTGTATGAAATTACAATGACTGTTCTTTAAAATACTTTTATAAAATTACAAACTGCTAATATCCCCCTAATTGGAAGTCAGAAGTTTCGATACAACTTGAAATTAACGTACAATTGTTTGCATAATGAGTAAGGACAAGTTTCCAAGTCAGATATCAAACTGAAATTAAAACAACAAAAAGTCCAGAAGAAATGTAAACAGTGATAAAATACCAACATTTATACATGTTGCCAAGAGCAAGGCTACTGAAGAAAGAGCTTGTGCCAGAATGAAAATCAATTACAGCACTAATCACACTGGGGCAGCCGACTTATTTTTCATAACGAGACTTTCTTGCTAAAGGAAGCTATGTGTTGATTTACAGTGTGGCACAAGCACCTCCCTTCATTGCAGATGACAGAACAGGTACTGTTTACTTCTTTTAAAGTGCCATTGTAATTTTACTGCTCAGTTAGATGAACTTTACTATAGAGAAAATAATTAAAATGACAGTTGTAATTGTCATCTGTTTTCAAATCCCATTTATCCTGGGATCCTATCCAAAAAGCAAATTAAACTTTATTGAAACGTCACAATTGAACATGTATCTTAAGATGTGCTTAAGTGTTACTGACATCTGTCATTCGGAGGAGCTCTCTAGATTCCTACTTTAGTGAGATGTATTATTTGCTTTTGACTGACTTCTTTCCAATAGTGAGAAAAAAAGAGTAAAATGAGTTTTTTTGCTAACAAATTCTCTCAAAATATTATTTTCACAATTACATCGGTAAAAATATTTCAATTCGCCTTTATGAAAAAGCTGAATTTATATACTCTTTGTGCAACCACTGCTTTTTTATAATAAAACAATGTCAGGGAAAAGATATGGAAATTTACAAGTCCATGTATTCTATTAACTGGGTCGGGAGAGGACATATAAACTATTTTAAGATTCTTCAAAGGAAAAGGCACTAGCATAAAATATTTTTTAAAAACTAGCTTACAATTCAAAATTCAAATATTCTTTTTATTTTTTGGTATGGCATAATTCTCCTAAAATTTTTTTAAAAATATATATGGTCTTTTGGAAATGTAGTAATTTCCTCATTCTCTAATGACTTACTAAGCTTTTCCTGAATTTCCTTAATACTGAAAGCAAATAAGTGGACAATTAACAATTTAGAAACAACTCATCAGTTTTATATATAAAAGAACTCAGTTTAGCTTCTGCGGTGTCTGCTTTGTCAGACCAACAAACTACTACTTAAAAGAATTTAAATGTCTATTTACATGTCATAAGACCTCCTTTGGCACCTGAGTTGAGCACAATAAACTACAGAAAAGAATCTCTAAGAGAAAGTTGTCCAAAGACTGTATTTTATCCATCTATACATATATACATGCACCTATACATATACACATATGCACACACACATATACACGCACAAGCAAAAATGACTTTTCCTTAAAAAATGCTGAAGATGTTGAAGAAAATTCACCATTCAGTCAAATAAATTGACCCGATGGCTACTGGAAACAGTTTTATTACTGAAGATTTTGTCTTATCAAAAGTTGATATTGTCAAGAAAGTTTTAGAGTAATATATAATTCTAAAGGGAAACACCAGGTTTTGTTTTTGGTCAAAATATAGTTTCTTCTGATATAGTGATGTGGTCAGGAGATCACAGTTATCTAAACATGACAATATAATAAACTTTTTGATGGTCAACAGGCAGAAACTTATCCAAGATGACCATCCAAAGAGGAGTAAGTTCCGCCCCACCTCCATTAGGACTGAACACATCACTGGCCACGGATCGCACATTATCTCTTTCACAGGTCCCAGTGAAAGCCACACTTAGGGGCCATTCCTGCAGATGGCCCCATGTGGAGCCTCCTCATTCACCGGGATTTTATGTGAGGATTTTAGAAGGGCTTGATGTCACCTAGTTTCAGAACCACACCAGCCTTGCTACTCACTGATTTGGGCACTGCACAGTGGTCTGACTGGTGCTGTGATTTTTTTTTTTTTTTAATGTATACTTTTAGAACTCTCCAAAGGATTGGCTTTCATTTAAGATTTTGAAGTCATCTAAAATTCAGTAAGCTGTCTGAGTCTGTCAACATTTTCTTCTACTCTCAATTAATAAATAGATTAGACTGATTAAAAACAGAGTACACATAGTTTTACCAAAGTATCTTCTACTCCAGAAAGTCTGGAGGATAGAAAGCCCCTACACTTGCATACTATTCTCCATCTTCCAGACCTTATTAGGTTTGAAGAATGTTGAGAGTTGGCAAAAACATTTGAGTTAAAAAATGAAGCCATGCTACCCTTCTCTGGTCCAACTTTTAGAGAATATCCCTGATCAGGTTTCTAACTCCCTCTTTGCTCTGGTTAAAGACCTCTCTCATATAGTAGACCAGATATAATGGAAATCTTATGTGGTTTCAAAGTATTTGTAATTGAGAAATATTTTCAACTGCAAAATGCTTCTTGACCACCTATAAAGTAGTATATATTTTGGTTTAAACTTGACACTACTTTCCTAAACAAATTATGTCAACAGAGGCATGATACAAGGCTCACTTTAAAGAGAGAATCTATCAAATTCCATTGTCTTCATTCTTCTTCAGTTTACACCAACCATAATATAATTTAAACCACTTTTTTTCCTGACATGTGAAAACATTTTGTTAAGTATCATCTGAACTTAAAACTATTTCACTAACACATGAGCCACATGTACAATTTTAATTTTTGTCATATATTTAAATATTTTCTTCTCTGCAGAGCTATCTCACCATAGGAAATGATACTGTGCTAATAACCAGTAATTTAGCATTAAGACATTTCCTCAAATGTTTCTATGCAAAAGTGCATGTACAACATAAACATGTCATATATGAGGCTATAAACCACAATTTCACACTGGAGTGGATTTAAAATTTCAAATTCAGTCCAAATGAGTCAAGAGAAAAGCTCTAACAGAGCACGTCTGAAACAAGTTCATGGGGATTGGGTAATGAGTCATCAAAGCGAAATCTTTTGGAGACCATGCTGCTGTCCTCTGGAATATTCTCTTTGTCTTCTCGGTCACCACAGGTTCCATTACAAGAGGATTTGGAAGTCTTGTCTTCAGAGGACCTTATTGTATGATCCTGAATTTGAGAGGAACTGGAAGTTTCTTCAGAGAGAAACAAGTTTCCAAAGTCCCATTGCTGCAGCCAAGAATGAGAAAGGCAGATTTCTGCGGTTGGCCTTTTCCTTTGAAAGAAAGCACCAAGAGAAAATTAAGGACTATAAGTCAAGTTGAAAACATCTTCAGTTTGATAGATAATAGGCATATTTTTGTGTGTTATGAAAATGGCAAATACAGTAATGATCCAAACAGTACAGAAGAGAACAACAGCATCAGTTAACATTTGGGGACTATTCTATATGCTGCAAGTCTATTGTCTAATAATCACGAGGAACCCAGGGGATGCGTACTGTTGCTCTCCTTACTCAACAGATAAGGGAAGTATTGGGTTGTTGGGAAAGTCATGATGCATTTTTGCATAGAAAAACATGGAATAACACATCATAACTTTCCCAGCTATGTAAGGGAATACCAAGAAGGTTTTGCCCCAAATCTCGTAACTTGTCAAGTGGAACCTTCACTCTATAGTCAGTGCTTTAAAACATTACCCTCCATGAAGGTAAAAAGCAAAATTATTTTCTGTTTTCTGGAGAGGTTTTATTTTCTGTTTTCTGGAGAGATTTTTGTTTGTTTGCTTGCTTGTTTGTTTGTTTGCTATAGGGCACGTGCGCTCGCCAGATAGAGAGAGACAGAGAGACAGAAAGTGAGAAATCACCCCCTCCCCCCAGGGGGGATAGCCACGCTGCAATCCCTTCTCCTCCATTCTCCTCTCAGGATCTTGGGTACACATGAGTTTAAGCCACCATGTTCGGGACTCTAACCACGGCCGACTACGTGGGAGTCCAGTGACATAGCCATTACGCTAACTGCTGGTCCCGTCGAATGCTCCATTTATTTTTGCAACTTGGTTTCCTCACTCATTCAGCAATGCACTTCAAGCATCCTTTCACATCAATACAAAGTTAGCATGGTCATTAACAGCGACATGAGTGGGTCTTCAAAAAGTTCATGGAAAATGTGTACTGTGCAAAAACTATGTATGGATTTGAATATTTCACCAGCAAAATACACTCGTATTTCATTTCTACTTTTCTACAAACTTTCTGAAGTCTCCTCATATTATTTAGTATTCTTCCACATGGAAGAATCCCCATCAATGCTTCCCCAATTTTGGTATATGAATAATATTGCAATGAACACTGAAAGAAAAAATTTGCAAGGAGGGGGAATTCTCTGATTATCTCCATAAGGTAAGTTAGTAGTAGTTATCCGGTCTTTATATGTTGAAAGATAGTACTTAACTGCCTTCCAACTGATTTCTAATATTCAATCTACCAATATGTTTCCAAGATTTTGAAAAATATAATCAAAGTTTTCTTATAGTAGTTTCATAGTTGTATATTTTGAACTTAGGTTTTTATTCCATTATGAATTTATATTTATATAAAGAAAGAGAGAAAAAAACCTTTGTTTTCCCAATAAACATTTTCTTGGAAAATAACTTGCATATAAAGGATTTCTAACAGACAAAATACCAATCTGTGCAGTCAGAAAATTTTATTCTAGTCTTCCACTGACTAGAAGACTATAGGAACTACCTTAACTTTGACATTTCTTTTATTGCAGAAAGAAATATTCGCCCTATTTTCTAGGAAAATGACAGTTTGTTTTTCTTAGTAAACAAAACTCAGTTAAATGAACATCTCTAAATATAGCTACCAAGCAATATGTTATATTGCTTGCTTCAACTATACCTGAAGACTTAAAATAAGAAGTGAAAAAAATAAAGGAAAAGTTAGTTCTTGCAATTTTTCATCATTTTCAAAGTCTGACCCCTGTGGAAGCATGAATTCATTTCATATATCTAAGTGCTTCCTACTTGTGATTTCTGAAATGAAACCTGGAATACTGATAACTCTTTAATTCTACATGTTGGCAATTCAATTTATTATGAAGCTTACTTATAAATGAGATTCTAGTCAAAGAGCTTGAGAACATATGTTAGCCTAGCAAATAAAAGTTAGTGACATTACAAAATCTTGAGTTTAAAAACCCTTTGGAGAAAAATATATCTTCATTTTCTTAAAAGAAATAACTTGTAAATAACTTAAAAGAAATAACTTCTAAATCTTAAAAACAAAGGCTAGTTTATCCAACACTTGGAGTTTTAAAATTTTGTTTTCAATTATGAAAATAATATGGACAAATATCATAATTTTCCAAAGTAAGAAAACACCCACCCATACTCATAACTCTAATCTTAACACAACCATTAATAAAATATTAATATGATTATGGAAAATTGTAAATCTACATAAAAAAATCATTTAAGAAAATGAAAACTGCATATAATCAGAAACCACAGTATTATTACTATCTCTACCACTAAATAATCATCCATGTCCAAAATACAGCCAGTGAGTTTGTTTGGACTTGCACTACACTAAAAAAATAATTAAAAATACTATGAGGTTTTTTTTTTCAAACAAGTAAGGAAACTGAGTAGTCCTCGAGAAGATTAACTAATCATCAGAGACAAAAAAAAACAAAAACAAAAACAAAAAAAACTAAAAACTGAAAAGTAAGGGACCAGCAGTTAGCGTAATGGCTATGTTGCTGGACTCCCATGTAGCTGACTGAGGTCTGAGTTCCGGACCCAGTGGCTTAAACTCACACTGGGTGCGTGTGTGTGCATGCCCAAGATCCCGAGAGAAGAATGGAGGAGAAGGGACTGCAGCGTGGCCATCCCCCCTGTGGGGTGATTTCTCATTTTCTGTCTCTCTGTCTCTCTCTGTCTTTCTGGCAAGCGCGTGCACCCTATAGCAAAAAAAAACAAAACAAACAAACAAACAAAAACTCTCAAAAGAAAAAAAAAAAAAAACCTGAAAAGTAAGAACATCAGAATCCTGGCCTAATGCATTTTATTACAGCTCCTACATTATGTGTAGTCAGGCCAATACAAAGTCAATATGGTTGACCCTGGGTAAAGACAAGGTCAGCTTTTTCTTTTCTTGCCTGGAAGCTGCCAAAGCCTGAATGATAGTCCCTAAGTTATCGTTCCCCAGTCTCTTAGCAGGCTGTCAAAGCTTATCTGATGCTTCAAGATCTGACAATCAGGAATTTACAATTATTATAGAACTAGAATTATTTAGCTACAAATAATTCATAAGAAAGTCTTATTATAAGCATCCATAAATACTGTAAACTTCCTATTTCTAATTATTTTAGGGAATTTCAGAGATTAGCAGCAGGTTGAGAGAGAACCAGATCTTTCCTTCACTCCAACTAATTATTATATATTTGATATTGGAAGTTATGTACTGGTTATTAAATGATCTTTCATGCCACCTCCCACAGAATATATCTTTCTTAAGATATAACTATTTATTGTGTAACAGTATTTAAACAAATTACTGTCATTACTTACTCTGGATTTTTGACTAAAAGGCTCTGGATAAAGTCTGTAGCCAGCTGTGAAACTGATGAAAAAGTTTCTTCTGAATAATCCACATTAACTTGAGAAATATTGAGGTATGTTTCCTGATTATCTTCTCCCACAAATGGTGATGTATGAGTTAATAACATATATGCTATTATACCAATATTCCTGAAAAATAAATAAAGGAGAACAGGGGAACTTATGTGTGTTCATTTTAAAACATTTATCTACAGTACAATCTAGACCTTATTCCTATCCTCAAAGCTGGTACAGTTAAATTACAGACTTAAATTGCTTTTCAGAGTTCCTATATTATTAAAACTAAAATAGTTATGCTATCTTCAAGTTTCCCATACAGAAAGGGAATATAAGGTAGTGCATGTGTGTGTTATGTAATTATAACAAAAACATGCATGAATACATATCATTATATCTATAATTTACCCTTCCCACAGACACCTGTGGCTGAGAATGCAGGGCTGCTACAGCATTTCCTAAACAGTATCCAATGACACTGCAATGATTCATGAGATATAAGTAGGAGTTCTGTGCAAATAGGGTCTGCAAACACAAACTGGGGTTGGCAAATTTTTTCACTGCAGAACTTTCCAAAGCTGTATATACATTAATGACAAGTCTGGTGTCCAGGATACAGAAAAAGACTACAGTAAATGTTTCACGAACTTATTTAGCTATAGGATCTTTTTTCCTTGGGAAACTCATTAGCAGTTCCATGGAACACAGTCTAAATACTTCCAGTTGGTCTGTGAAGTCAGTCCCCCCCACTGTGGTTCCAACTGAAGTTCCAGTATAAATTCTGTTCTACTCCCCATCGTGCTTGCTCTATACTAGCTACAAGATCCCCCAATTCCCTAGAGATGTGTTCTCATAAAATGTGTGGGTCTGACCTCATTTTTCTGCTGTGTAAATACTTTATCCTAGTTCTTCTAGACCTAGATCATATGTCTGCCATTGCTGAGTGGAACCTAACAATGCCTGGCCTGCTGCTGCTTCAGTGCTTATTAAGCATTTGACATTTATTACAGAGCATGCAGCCCTGTACTGCGGTTCTTCTGTTTTTTTACTCAACTGAGTCTTCATGGTATATAGGGATTTTCCTGTTTACTTCTGTACCTTTGGCTCAGAGCCTCAGTGTTACTTAAAAAGAACAAAAAGGTAAATGTTTTCCTGTGGCAATAATAATGATACTCAAATAAAACCTTTTAATGTAAAGCAAACAATTGGAATATAGAAGCCCCAAACATATGTGTTAACCAACTTCTAATAAAGGCATTTAGGTAACTAATAAAATCTTACCACATATCTGTTGCTGTGGTAATGGGATCATAGTTTAAGATTTCTGGAGCTGGAAGAGAAAATAGAATTCAAATTCAATATTGGCATTTCAAAACATGGAAATTATTTTATATTAAATTAGAACTGGCTTTAATTTTGGAAAGCCTAATGATAATAAGAAGCAAATTGTACTTCATGGAGATGCTATATTTTCTTTCTTTTTAATTTATTTTTTATGTTTTTTATTTTGCTAGAGGATATGTGCACTTACCAGAGAGAAACAGAAGCAAGGAGAGGGGAGAGAGGCAAGAAAGTATTCCCCATGTGGGGCTGGTCATGCTGCAATTCCTTCTCCTCTACTTCTCTCTCCCTTGGCACTGGTTTGTTTTTCAAGCTACTGGATCCAGGACCTGAACCTCTTAGTTGGTCATGTGGGATCCAACCCCCTTACCCACCTCTCCATAGACTGGGCCCAGAAATGTTACATTTTCAAGTAGATTAAATATCTGTTAAACTATCAAAACCCTAAGCAATTTATTTCCACTGTCGTTTCTGCTGCAAAAACAAAACAAAAGAACCCTGCAAAATGAATTCTCTATACTTTCTAAACATTACCATGTAATTCAAATTAGTAGAGTCAATTTATAGCTGAAAAATAACTTATTTATCTCACAGTATAGTTTAATAATTTCTCTAAAGAGAAACTGTTTCCTACAGCCTAATAGTTTTGTTAATAAAGTCTTTGAGTCATATATATTGTCAGCCTCCATTAAACCACTTACAGGCTTTTCACAGCTTCAGTGAGCTGTTATTAATAGTTACAAATCATTTATTCTAGGACACTACAGCCCTTTATTAGCATTCAAATGGCAGCAATTGGCTTTGTTTTTCATTTTGGGGAAAGATAGTGACCTTACTGAGAGGCAAATATTCTGTTTAGCTGCATCTTTTCAATGCTTGCATGGAGATACAAACATGAGCAATAACAAAAAAGGTAAAGAAAACATTATAAATCAAAATACCTTTAACCTGAATGTTGTCTCACAACTTATAAAATCTTTCATACATATGACCTAGTTTATTGATATACTATAATACCCTTAGGTTACCTAATCATAAGTTATTTTTGATATCCTTCTTCTTTAAAACGTTCCCTTCATAACTCTACATACAACTTCGTATCTTAAAACAGCAGCAGCAAACAAGTTGTCCTATGAACAATTCTTGTAGAACTTAAAGCATCTGAAATTGCAAACATCTTTGGAGGTGGGGTCAGACAGAAGTAGAATTGAGATTTATCCAAAAGCTAGGCCTCAAAGGCAATCGTGGATACCTGATTCTCTGTTGTTCTTTTTTCATCATTCTCTTTCCTTAATCTATCTCTTACTCATTTCTTTTTTCCTTATGTACAAAGCCTTTAACACAAACATTATCATATATTCAAATATACTGTAAATTGTATGAATGGTTAAATACTCCTGCACTCACTACAATTCATTTAAATATGTGAACAACTAAGTCTCAGTACATGAAAATACTCTAATCAAATGAATCCCCAAATTACATGCTCTAAAATATACTTTTATAGAGGTATCATTTACTCAATAAATTTCAAAATGGTGTAGAAAATACAAAGAAATCTTACCTAAATATTCTGGTGTTCCCATGATTTCCCGAAGTTCACATGCGTTCCCTATTTTTCGAGACATTCCAAAATCTACAATTTTTATGTCCCCAAGAGGGTATATGCTGCTTAATAATATATTCTGTGGCTAAATAAAACACAAAAAAGAAATGATAAGCAATATACAGTGAAGGAATGTCAGTCTCAGATTCGAGGTAAACTAAATAGTATTTATTGCTTGGCTATTATACATCTCATTGAATCAAACATTTACTGAATTACTATTTAAGAGGTGCTATATATTCAATGATTGAAGCAAAAAAAAATGTGATCAGAAAGGTTTCTTGGTTTAGATAAACAGATCAATAGGCAGACAGATTACGAGATACAGAATACTTACAATAGACAAGACTACCTAATCCTGCGCATAAAAAAGTCCAAGAGGGCTTTGCAGTAGAGATAATGCTGAAGCAGAATCTTAAAGGATAAGCTGGAATAAACAGATTGGAAAAGAGTGCTCTGGGGAATAGCACAAAAGATGGCATGAAAGAAGGAGCACGTATCCATTTCCAGAAATAGAAAACCATTCAGTACAGTGTTTGGTTTTGGATGAGCCAGGTCGGACTCTTCCCAGTTTTTAGCTTATAAAAAAAGATGCATGGTATGCTTCATCCATCACCTCCTAGAACCATGTGATTGCTCTACAGTAGCAGGCCTATGGACAAAGTTCCCAGCTGCTGTCACAACCCATATACACACCAAGGCGCTGCTCCCAAAGTCTGTGCAAAAATTCCTAAGTCTCTTAACTTTGAGAAATCTTCATGGTTGTTTCTTATTAAATCACAGAGACCACTACAGGAGAAAAGCCGGGAATAATCAGCTGTTATCAGCCACAGGCCTTATGGTATAAAAAGTCAGATTTATATGCCATCTCTGCCTGCAAACGCCATGTGTGATGCTATGTGTGTAATGTCTTTAGAAAGAAAAAGACCCAGCACCCAACAGGAAGCTACTGGCGGCATGATTATCCTGGCATTTTGCTACAATGTTTCTTTTCCAATATCTTATCAGTAGGAAAAAATGGTAGGAATGCTAGATGGTAAATATTCTCCCTCCCTTCCACAGAGGAGCCCAATACAGAGAGCGGATTCTTTTTTTTTTTTTTTTTCTTTAGAAAAAGGAGTAAGAGAAAGAGGGAAAGGTAGGTCCAGTTTGAGGCATTTCAAATTTCTACAGGATATCCAAATGATAGCTACACTGTAGTAAGAAAAGGGGGACGCTGTAATAAGACAAGGGGGATTTGGAAATTAGGAAAGAGGCCTAAGCTGCATGTAGGGATTTTGGAATGATTTTTATTGTGAAAGTAGCAATGTGGGGCTAGCAGGTGGCATGGTGGTGGTGGTTGAGGGTGCTGGGCTGCCACATGGCAGACTGTAGTTCAAGTCCCAGATCTGGTGGCTGGCTTTCTCTCTCTCTCTCTCTCTCTCTGTCCCTCTCTGGTCAAATTAAAATAAACAAATAAAGTTAAATAAAATAATAATAAAAATCGCTGGAGTGGTAGTGAAAGCCAAAAGATCACTCTGGGAGACCACAGAAAGAAGAGTCCAATGTTAAAAAATAAGAGGTCGATTCAGATTTTAAGGTCTCTAGGTGGCTATGGAGAAAGGATAAAGAGAAGAGATACTAGTATAAGAGGCTAAAGTTTTGGGGCCTGGGGGAGGGGCCTAAATGACCTCAGAGATTGAAAGACTGAAAGCGTCGGGACCAGCAGTTAGTGTAATGGCTGTCGCTGGATTCCCATGTAGTCGACTGCAGTTCGTGTCCTGGACCTGGTGGCTTAAAACTCACTCCGGGCGTATGTGCATGTGTGCCCAAGATCCCGAGAGGAGACTGGAAGAGAAGGAATTGTGGTGTGGCCATCCCCCCTGAGGGGTGATTTCTCACTTTCTGTCTCTCTCTCTCTCTCTGTCTTTCTGGTGAGCGCACATGCCCTATAACAACAACAACAAAAAAAAAAAAAGAAAGAAAGAAAAAAAAGAAAAAAACTCTCCGAAAAACAAAAACAAACAAATAAAAAAAAACCTCTCCAAAAAAAAAAATAAATAAATAAAGACTGAAAGCCTCAAGAGAAAGAGGAATGGGTATGATAGGAGCAAAGGAAAGAGGATTGGTGGGAATTTATCTTCAGAGATTAGGTTAGAATTGCTTATTTCAGAGGTAGACAGTTTCATAAAAAGAATGGGATGAAGTGGAATAACTGTAGTAGTAAAACACATGGGACTGATGGATTTTTTTAAAAGAACTTTTTGATTTAATTTTATTATTCTTCATTTTCACCAGAGAGATAGAGAGAGGGAGAGTGAGAAAGTAAGCCACCAGGTTGGGGACTTGAAACATGGTCAGCCATGTGAGAGTCCAGTGCCTCGCCTACCATGCCACCTGCCAGCCCTAGGACTGATGCATTTTAAGAGGCCAGTGATTAATCTCAGCTGCTCACATGAGTAGTCTTCTGTGTGCAAATACAAAATTAAGTCCATGAAGCACACAGGCAAAGAGTGCACCCAGTGTAGTTAGACAATCACAGTACAACTGCTACAATCACAATCCAACTGCTACCAATACCAGCTTACAACTGTGCATACAAACAGCAGAGAAAAAACACAGATGTTGCCTGACTTTAAATCACATGGTACATTACCTTTAAATCAAGGTGTACAATGTTATTCTGATGTAGATAATAAACTCCTTCAAGTATTTGTTTAATGAGTTTGACAACATCATTTTCAGAGACCATCTCAGCCAGCTCAGGTAAACAGAGGTTGAAAATCTCTCCACCTGCAGCACTGAAATAAAATTCAAACAGAAATTTAAAAAATGAACTGCCAATAATGAAAACTTTTAAACACTATATACCTGTTAAGTAAAAGACACACAGCCATCTTTCTACATTTTAGTGCCTACATACACATTTAAAGACAAAGTAGGGAAGAGAGGAATTTTTTTTTCTTAACCTGTTTTTGCCATAAGGCACGTGCGCTCACCAGGAAGACAGAGAGAGACAGAGTGACAGAAAGCGAAAAATCACCCACCCCCCCCCCCAGGGAGGATGACCATGCCATAATCCCTTCTCCTCCATTCTCCTCTCTGGCACTTGAACATGCCTGCGCACATGCCTGGCATGAGTTTAAGCCACTGGGTCCGGGACCTGAACTGCAGCTGACTACATGAGAGTCCAGCGACATAGCCATTACGTCAACTGCTGGTCCCAAATACTGGTATCTTTTAAGAAATCAGATCAAATAATTTGAAATTACAAGAAAGATGTATAAAATATGGATTGACATATTTGCATTTATAATTTTTTTTGAGAGAGATTTTTGCTATGGGGTGCATGCATTTCCCAGAGAGACAGAGAAATACAGAGAGAAACAAAGTGAGACATCCCTCCCCAGGGGGAATGGCCATGCCGGAATCCCTTTTCCTCCATTCTCCTCTTGGGATCTCAGGCATGCACACACACACACTTAGCATGTGTTTCAAGCTGCTGGGTCCGGGACTTGAACTGCAGTCAACTATGTGGGAGTCCAGCAAGGTAACTATTACACCATCTGCTGGTCCCTTCATTTATAATTTCTATTGAGACAGACAAAAGAAAAAAAAAATCTAAATTCTTCATACGTACAGTAACACTTAGGTAAGAAATTCATTCTTGAACACTTTACGGTTATTTATGTACTAACATTTTATATTACATTTATGAGAGTTAACTCAATAACCAGAGTCCTTCATAAATTCTAAAATTCAAAATGAAACACTTAAAAATAAATTGAGAAATGTGTGGAAAGCAGTTCCTAGGACCTAGGAAATGAGACAAAATGCTCAATATCCCTTATCATAAGGGAGATGCAAATCAAAAGCACAATGAGATATCACCTAACTTCAGTCAGAATGTCTAAGATTAAAAAAGTAAAAAATGGTAAGTGCTGGTGAGGCTGGGGTGAAAAGGGAACCCTCATACACTGTTGGTAGGAATGTGAATTAGTACAGCCACTGTGAAGAACAATATGGAAGTTCCTCAAAAACCTGCAAATAGAACTACCATATTATCTAGCAATTCTACTCCTGGGTCTCTACCCAAAGGAATAAGAATACACTCAGTTGGAAAGACACGTGCACAACCATATTTATTGCAGCATTATTCACAATTGCTAAGGCATGAAATCAACCCAAATGTCCAAGAACAGAAGAACAGATTTAAAAAGTATGGCACATATACACTATGGAATACTACTCAGCCATAAAAAAAAATGAGACCCTGACACTTGATAGAAAGTGGACAAATATGGAAGATTTAATGCTCAATGAAGCAAACCAGACTATGAAAGAGAAATACTGTATGTCCCCACTCAATATAGATATAAAATATCTGCACTTTATGTCAGAAAATTATATTGGAAGGCATGGAGAACAGCTCTGGAAACAAGAGACAATATAGAAAGATGGGGGCAGGGTTAGTGGGAGGCATGAGACAGAGAATCAACGGAGAGAATGAAAAGCAAAACATTTAATAGATACAAAAGTGGAAGATAGTGTATTGATAATGATAGGTATGGTGATATCTTTGACTGGATTGATGTGCAATGTATTTATGTTGGGAAGATTCATTTTGTATGTTGCAAATATGTACAATGATTTAAAAAGAGAGACAGACAAGAGAAGAGAGTGCTTATAGAGATGCTTACCAAACCTGAGATGGCCTGGATTTCATTTTAGCTCAGTAACTAATTAGCTACATGAACTGGGACAGAATGTGACTCTGTTTTTTCTATTGTAACATGTGACTGATAATAGCTAGTCTTTCATTGTGAATAATTAAATTAGATAACTCATATAAAGTATTAAGACAACAGACACTATATGAATCAAAGTAGATCATCTCTATAAGTATTTATCACAGTGTCTGACACATAGAAAATACTCAATAAATACTAGCTATTATTTTAACAAAACAACAAAAACTATTACAAATCTAATATCCAGCCTTCCTGAACCATGAGGTTTCTTGCAAAACTATTTTTTTTCCTAGTTTTTGCCATAGGGTGCATGTGCTCATCAGAGCAAGACAGAGAAAGAGAATGTGAGAAACATCCCCCTGGGGATGGCCACACTACAATCCCTTCTCTTCCATTCTCCCCTTGGGATTCTGGGAACACACATACATGCGCCCAGTGTGATACTTAAGCCTCCAGGTCTGGGATTCAAACTGTGGTAGCCCATGTGGGAATGCAGCACCTTAACCACCATGCTAACTTTGATTATAAAGGCAATTTCAAGACTTACCTAAATTAAAATTCATTTTCAGAAACACTATTATTGATTGTACATATAAAAATGTACACAATGAGGCTGGCAGATGGCATGATGGTTGTGACCCTAGACTCCCACATGGTAAACTGTGGTTTGAGTCCTGGACTAGCAGCTTGCTTTCTTACTTTCCCCATCTCTCTCTGGTCAAATTTTAAAAATAGCAATAAATAAAATGAAATTTAAAGTCATTAAAAATGCACATAATATATTCTTAAGTGAAAAAAGAGGTTACAATGGGATATGCTCCAATTGTTTCTGTTTAAATAATAATTTAAGCATTTATTTTTCATTGTTGGATTCTGTTTGCTTGTTTCTTATTTTCATGAAACAAAGACAGAAAGAAAGGTACCCTTGGCAGGGATATTCTGTACTGTGATCCCCCTCCCCCTTCCTCCCAGCCAGTCAGGATCACAGGCACACCTGAGCCGCATTGTGTGTTCAGGTTCACCCGGGAACCCTGGTCTCTTATGGGATCCAGAATGGCTCAGAGGCACCTTTCTACCTGCATCACATGGCTTGATCTGTGCTGGATTTAAATGATCATAAATGTGTCTCCAGTAGCAAAGGCCCAGACAAAATTGTACAAGGTTACCCTGTCCCATGTCTTTACAGATTTCTTTCCTGGTTTATTATTACTTATTATGATCTGTGCAGTTGATAATTCCAAAAAGAAATGAAGCAACTATAACATAGTCTGAATACAGCTGATATCCATTTAATTTTTAAGGAAACATTAATACATGGGCCAAAAAAAGAATGATTTTGGAAAAAAGAATACGCTACAGTTTACATGTAATTCCTACTTTTCATATCTTCTAAAAAGAAATAGGTACTACTTTTATAACCAGGAAAAGGATCTTAATGGATATTTTGCTTGATTACTTCCGTAACAGTGTCAAACATAATGATCATCACCCAGTCACACTGTCTCTTCCCTTTAGTTTGGCGAGGTGACTAATGTAGGACTGTCATTTTTCACACATGAAACAGAAAATTAAAGTCAGGAGGAGAGAAAGAAAAGATAATACCAGAAGCAGATTACAGAAGTCAGTAGAAATCAGAAACAAGGAAACAGAAGCAGTGAGTAACAGACAAGCAGACACTCTGTGAAAACAAGCTGTACAGTGTATAGTAACTAAAAAACGAGAAAACGTATCTTTACAGTCAGAAAAGCCAGCCATTTCATTATCATTGCCTTGGGAAGTACATTCAGGCTACTTCTGTTCTTCTCTCCATATAGGAAGAGTTTCCCTCATGAAAGAACATGAGCAAGCACATTTAGAAATTTGGAGTATGTATGTGTTCATTTGAGTAAGCATCTGTACGTGTGTTAAGTGTGACAATGTGATAATACTGTTTTAGTAAACTTATACTGCCCTGTAAACCTATACACTACCTATATGTCTACATCTGCCTTTCATAGCTTTCTAAGTGTAATTTAAAAATTAATAAGAAAATAGAGAACATCTTTTTAAAAAGCTCCATAAAATAATGAAAATAAAACTGACATTTAAAAGATTAAAATCAGAAAATCTTCCTATCCAAAACGGTAGATTTCTCTGGGTACTGCAGAGCCAAGATTTTTGGTAAAACAAAATAACACCTAAATTTTTTAAATAAGTATATATTTCTAGTCACTAAAACGAAGTAACTTTAAATATTTTTATTAAGAGTCTCTTTTAAAATTATAATCATATACTAACAGGATAAACGAAGTCCACGTAATTTTAGAATGGAAAGAAGTTGGACTATATACCTACATTTCTAAACTACAGGGGTTTTCCAAAAGCTAATGGAAATGCATGTTATAAAACCTATGCATGAATTTCAAATTTTTGTACTGAAATAAACTCATACTTTAATTCCATTTTCCCACATACTTTTTGAAGGTCTCCTCATAGAACACACAATGTTCTACACGATCTCTCTTTTTCAGAGAGTTGTTTTAAGAATCAAATGAGAATACCGATAAAGTGTTCAGCATAGTGCCTGTCACAGAATAAATGCTCAACATGTTACCGTGGAAATTGTTAGGATTATATTAAAATGTACCACTCTGGTGATCAGTTGAGATCATTCCAGAAGGTAGGGCTTTTCATTTTGTATGTCTGGTTATGGTCTCCATCATTTTTTGTTGGGTGCATATTTACTTAAAGAAATTTGACAAAATCTTGTAATTTTTTGACAAAAAGAAAGTATCATTTCTCTTCCACATATTCTCACAGAGTTATCTCTGTTGAGTATGAGCAAGTTCTCCTTTTGAACTTTATTTCTAGGACAGAAGTTTCATACCATGTTCTTCAAAAAAAATAATGTGCTCTTTATAACCAATTTTAGTTTGCTCAAAATTTAGGATTAAAACTCATTATGCCCAAATAGAAAATACTCTCCAAAGTTAAGCAAAAGCTTTGTAAATATTTTATTTAATTCTCCAAGTATGCTTTGAAAACACTTGGTATGAGAAAGTCTTTCCCTC